ATCGGAGGAGAGTAAACTAGTAATGGGGAGGAGGAGGAGGAGGAGGAGGAGGAGGAGGAGGAGGAGGAGGAGGAGGAGGCTAAGGCTTCAGGAGGCGACGCTTATGTTCAGTCGCTTCACTTTGGGACCAGTACTAGTAGTATCCCAGGTGCCGAATGCTCGTGGGCTAGGTGCCGGATAGCACGGTTACACAATGCATGTGCTCTCCTGGCTTCTGCAGAGAGAGTTCTGCGCCGAGATTTGGGCCCAGGGTCGGCCTGGCCGGGTCTGCCATGCGTTCCAGGCGCGGCGCCTCGCCGAGGGCGTTCCGGGGGTGTCGGGATCGTCCCGAAAGGCCACCGACGGCGCGACGTAAGGCTCGAAAACCACCAGGGGGCAATTCAGTTCAGTATCGTTCAACCGATCCCCATCCCCATCCTCGTCCCCTTTCAAGACCCTCACCAAATTATCCCCCCAGTTGGGGATACACTTCTCGAAACCCGAACGGAACGGCCCATATCCCCATCTAGGGGGGTAAACCCGCCACTGGGGCCCAGGCCACGCCGCTGGGGATGGGAATCGGTTAAGCAATGCTCATAAAATCGAGGGGGATGCATCGACCCCGAGGCGCCCATTCGTCGCGGCGGATGGGGGCCCGATGCCCCGCTCCGCCGTGGAAGGTGCCTCGAGCCTGTTCCCCCCACCCCCTTTTCACAGGCGAGACAGCATCCTTGTTGCCCTTTTCTGGGCCTCCCCGAGGCTTCTCGTTGCCGCGGCCGGATCCGCTTCAAACCGGGGTCAGGATGGATCCTTGGGGGGGGGGCCCAGGCAGGGGCGGATCGCGGGGGCCGGTCGGGAGGGCCGCCGTTGTTTCGATTTGGCCTTCCGAGAGGTGCTGGGCGTCCCGCGGGATGCCAGCGCCGCGGAGCCCAGAGCAGGTGGAAACAGCAGGAGCGACGCAAGCTCTCGGAGGTCCTCGCAGATTTGTTGGACCCCCATTGAGGACAGCACAACCCACCCCCGCCCCAACCACAACCCCCGACCTGGTGATCCGAGGGGGTCCTGGCTGGGGGGTGATGGTTTTCGTGTGGGTGCTTTTGGGGCGCAGAACCATCCCCACCCCCTCCTCCTCCGCCTCCGCCTCCTCCTCCTCCTCCTCCTCCTCCTCCTCCTCCTCCCTCATCCTCCTCCTCCTCCTCATCATCATCATCATCATCATCATCATCATCATCATCATCATCATCATCATCATCATCATCATCATCCCACCTCTTCCTCCTCCCCTCCAGCCAGGACCTCCTGGTCCTTGCCGGGGGGGGAGTTGTGCTGTCCTCATTTGCGCTGGACATCCCTGGCGGCGCCTCCTGCGCCACCACCGGCGCGTTCCGCGCCGCCCAGCGCCGACGCCAGACCCCCGATGTCGTGACTTTTTCATTACGTCGAGCCCCGGAGGTCTCGGGAGCGGCCAAGAGGGGGGTGTCCAAGAGGGAGGGGTGGGTGCAAATCATGACCAGCGGCATGTGCGCGACCCACGGGGGGGCGAGGGACGTAACGAAATAAGAAGAGGCGCCATGAAATCTGGGGAAATATCATGGCCCACGCCATGATATCCACCCCCCCTAGTCATCACCCCCCTCTTTGCCGCCCCCAGAGGTCCCGACCCTTTCCCTGGACCAGTCTTGTCACCCCGAGTCCCGAGGGCCGGTTCTTGGACCGCCCCGAGGGCCGGCAAGAGGCCCCCCTCAGAGGCCGAAGATATAGGAAAGAAACGAACTCCCGCCATGAGTTCTGTCACATTTTACCAACCTGGAACATATCCCTATCCCTATGCTGGGCACCTCCACATCACGATGCCAATCTTAGGGATTCTCTTACTTTTTGATGGCGAATCCCTAAGATTGTCATCGCCTTTTGGCGTGTCAATCTTAGGGATAGGGATACGTTCGAGGCTGGTAAACATTGCCCGAGGGGGGGTCCGGGATCCAAGGTTAACACCCGCGGGGGCCTCCGAGGCGGCGCGTGCCCGTGCCCTCGCGGTGCTGCTCCCCTAACTAGGAGCTGGCGGCGGCCTTCGCGCGGCAGGGCGGCAACGCTGGGGCCGCCGGCCCAGCCCGGGAGGCCTTCCAGGCGAACGGCGGAAGCCAACGGGCCCAGACGCGATCGCGTCGTCCTCCTCCTCCTCTTCCTCCTTCTCCTCCTCCTCATCCTCCCTCCTCCTCCTCCTCCTCCTCCACAATTACTCAATATGAAAATACTCTCCCTCTTCCCCTGATGGCGTCCGGGTGATGGCCGCGCACCCTCCGCGTACTGTTTTTTTACACACAGGATTCCCGGGAAATCCTGGGAAACGACTCTCGCTGAGGCGCCGGCGTCATTTTTTCCCAAAATGCTGCTCTCGTTGAGGCGCCGGCCTCATTTCTGCTCCCGAATCGTTTCGAATCGTGCTCCCGCTGCAGCGTGGGCCTCATTTTCGGATCGGTGTTTGGCCTCCGTCGTCCAGGATGGCGTTCTCGCCCCAGCG